GATTTCTTACAAGTTAGATTCAAGGCTCATCAAAATAATAATTAAAGGAACAAGATATGTGCAAAACCATTACGAAAGCAACAAGGGTATCTTGAGGCAAAATTAATAACGATGAAAAACTTCGTGAATCGTATTGCTGATGATTTAGAAAGCACATGACGAGAAGAAATTAAAGCGCGTCTTGAAAAGTTGAACAACGCATACAATATATAAATTCCATGCAATTTCGGACCAACTGGCGGCACTGATCTCCGAATAGGAATACCAGGAAAAGAACGAGAGGAAAGAGATTTTGACGAGCGATACTTCACTTTGAGGGCATCATTATTACAATGTATTAATAAACTTCAACCAATGTTTCGCGCATCATCGCTGGACAGGATCGATCCGGTAATAATCCGCTTGCATAAGTATTGGAGCAAGAAGCTACACTAATGCAGTAATTATTATTGGAGCGATCTAACGAGATACATGGAATCGACGCGCTATTACAAGTACTAAAGCAGGCTCTTTTAATTAAAAAATTATCAGAACTATCTAATGAAACTATTTAATGATTATTTACTTATCACGAATATTGGAGCAGTTTCGATCGTTGGAAGGTGTGACTGCATCACGAGAGCTATAAGTAAAACTACCAATCATAAAATTATCAACATTTAATGGGAGCATTAAAGAATGGAAGAGATACTCCGATACAGTCAAGAATTTAGATACACGATAGTGATCTGTTGAATGTACAGAAACATCAATATTTGGTCGAACCGGTCCAGCGGCAAAAATAGAGTTGATTAAAATCTCGGATCAAAATTATACGCATAAGATAATTGTTGAAGAAACGATTCAAGGATGAACGGGCTATTCGCAAGCGGCATATTTAGTGTTTATTTAAAATAATTCCACAGATGCAGCAGAAGTTCGTGGCTGGTACCGTCCAGAATTTTTTAGACTACGTCTAGAAACAACGTCTTGCAACTCCTACATTCCATAAAATCACCTATCGAATCATGGGGAGAATTAATTGTTCATTTGATTAAGAAACGTTTGAATATGGTCACGAAACGACGATGAAAGGAGCATATTGAAGAAAGAGAAATTTAAAGGAGAGTGTCATAATAGATTTTTTTATAGTATCGATGCCAGATTTTGGAGCGGATATCCTTAAGTTAAAAGACATGAAGAATAATAAACCGAAACGCGACGATTGTAATGAAAATATTCGACAACTGTTCAGACAGGACGATGTGTCAAGGATAACATCTAATCTGCGCATGTAAACAATTTTTGGAACTATCGCCCGAGGAAAGAACGCGAGAAGTCAAGCGGATAAACCTGTGCATTAATTTATTAATTGTCTTCGAAATATTCACTTTGTGAAAAACTGGAAATTCGGTTTGTGGTGAAAATGTAGAGAGAAACACGATACATCGTGTCATTTCACGAAGGAGGCAAATGGTCCGATTGTAATTTTGAAAAAAGTCAATTACAACGTCACAAGAATTAAAAGGGAGAACTGTTGCAATTTCAATGACTGAAAAAGATCAAGTAATGACGAGTAATAATCGAGTCATCTGTGCATCACATATCAAACGGGATCGAACATAAGCAAATTCTAATGTCAATAACCATTGTCAAAATAGTTGAACTATCACATAAAGCATTGTCAACTGTAAATAAGATCCTGTGTGTCAGCTTTCGAATTGGAATTATACCATCTGATTGTTCCGCCTCTAAGGAATTGCTATCGTTTGCGACAAATTTGAGCAGAGATTTTTTTCTAAATATCCGATATATTTTCTGACATCTTTTCTCATCTATATCTTTCGATTTCTTGCCAGAAATTTTATATACGTAGGATATATATTTTTATCACTCTTTTTAACTCGATACATATATATATATATAAAGAGAGAGAGAGAGAGAGAGAGAAACAGAGACAGTTTACAGTTTTAAAAATTGAAAACGTTGAATGTTTTCATGTGAAGTCTAAAATTTATTTTCAAAATATACATCAAGCACGGATGTACTATCGTTTATCTTCTTTTATTATTTGTCTGGCTGCAGTTGATGCGTCGCGACACAAGTGCTCAAAGTCAATCAAATTGTGTACGTGCATGTGATGTATTTCTTTTTCATATCTTTCCACATCGTGATAAAATCGTGACTTTATAAAAATGGAGTTATATGTACTAACAAAGTTATAAAACTGCGATAAATACGATCGTCAAACCATTCTGACGATAATATTTATAAACATAGACCTGCGAAATATAGAATAAAATAAGATTTCAATTATGCGTATGTTCAACGACTGTAAAAGTGAACATTCCCCAAAACAGAGACTTCCATAGAAATATTTTCCTATCTGCCTTTATATACATAAAGAATAATTTTATCACAAAACGTTAACGTTGTAAGAATAGACATAGCCATAGTTGTTTGTTCTATGACGAATTCGTGATTGCTGCGTGCTAGTGCACACTCTGAAAAAGATTCCTCGTGTGGGCTCCTCAAATATATTATAGTCGAAACTGGACTGGATTTTAGTCTGAACTGTTACATTTAGATAACTTTATCAACAGCGAAGCCTTTATCTGTACATCAAAAATAAAATCAAGTATGGCTGTACAAAACTCATTGCGTAAACAAACATAGACTCGTAGAGTCCAACTGGAACTGAATTTATTTCTCTTTTCTAGGCGGCGTGAAGAGCATGAGCCGGGAGAGTGGTGCCGGAGCCGGCGGCGGGGTCGGTATTGGCGGTGGCAACAACACGACGTACACACGATCGGTGATACCGCGTGAACTGGCCCAGGACTTCGCGAGACCACCACGCCTCGATGTGCTTCTCGACATGCCGCCAGCCTCGCGAGAAACACAAATCCATCACAGCTGGAACGCTGACGATCGTAGTCTAAATATTTTTGTCAAGGTATTACAGAAATATCGGTAGCTCTTTAAAAATCTTAAAAAAACGTATGAGTAAATACAAATATATATGTATAATTTTGTAACTATATATAATTTATCCTTGTCAGTCGGACTTTATCAGTTTAAGGATCCCGCACTAATTATATGGAAAAAATAATTTCAGTCAAAATTGGTTGAAACTAATATTTTGTAATCAGCGTAAACTTATATTGATCAATAACCTTCTAGTTACAGCCATTAAAAATGAAGAAATTTTATTGTAGCATCATTTTAAAGTTATTATTTTGAATCTAATTGTATACCTTTATCTAAAATACATCATTTTTTTTAATTATATAAGCATTGTAAATACGTATGTAAAATCATACGTGTGTCTTTTATTAGGAGGAGTTAATGTCTCAGTATGCGTAGATGGGGAGCGATGATGTGAGTGTATGTATATGTATCGGTATGTGTATATCTCTGTTGATGGCTCTTCCATTAGTATGTATCTGATATTATTACATATGGGCACATATATATATAGAGTTATGTCTAAATGCTTATACAGTTAAAATAATGAACTGTGTACTGTAAATAAAGATACTTTTCCGATTAGATCTAATAAAATAGCAGCTTTCAAATAGTATTACAGCTATCCATTTTTAATAATTGCATGTATATGGAGACTTTTAATCAATATCTTATAAGCTATAAAATATCAAAGTTTCAACCAATTTAACTGAAATTTTTTCCATGTAAGTACGAGATTCTTTCTTGATAATTTTAGTTGTTGTAACTGTTTCAAAATTACATAAATATTAGTCTCCCTTAAATAATCACAAAAGTGAAAATACAGAGAGACTATGATTTTCGCTCTTTTTATCGTATGACTCTTTCGAACTTAGATTATAAAAAAATTTATTTATGGTTCTTTGATCAATGGTATCTGATATGAATTCGTATACTTTATCCATGTTATTTTACTATCATTTTATTGACGTTTTCAAATTTGTAGGGTGTACTTTAGATTAGAATTTTGACAAATCGAGTTTCTCATTATTAAACTGTTTTCATTATTTTTCCTAGGAGGACGACAAGTTAACATTTCATCGACATCCTGTCGCGCAAAGTACAGATTGCATACGAGGAAAAGTGGGGTATACCAAGGGTATGCACGTATGGGAGCTTTATTGGAGCACGAGGCAACGAGGTACGCATGCCGTCGTAGGAGTAGCAACGGCGGATGCACCTTTACATAGTGTCGGCTACCAGAGTTTGGTAGGGAATAACGAGCTCAGTTGGGGTTGGGATCTTGGTAGAAATAAACTCTATCATGATTCAAGAAACAACACTGGCGTGACGTATCCAGCCCTCCTCAAGTCTGACGAAACGTTTATTGTTCCTGATAAATTTCTTGGTAATTCCTATGTAATTGTATTGCGCAATCTCGTGAATAAATTTGAGAATTTATGAAACATCATGCAAACGATATATTAATCAGAGATTTCTTCAAATCAAGGTGTCAAATGTATCATAAAATAAATTAGAAATTTCTTGAGTATTTTATGAATATTTTAAACTTATTACAATTTTTCTTTACAGTTGTCCTTGATATGGACGAAGGCACGTTAGCGTTCGTAGTGGATGGTCAGTATCTTGGAGTAGCATTCAGAGGGCTTAAAGGAAGGAAATTACATCCTATTGTATCGGCCGTCTGGGGACATTGCGAGATCACGATGAAATACATCGGCGGACTTGATCGTAAGTGAATAATCATAATGATTTTACTCATAATACTTTTAAAAATATGTAACGTCAATCTTACGAATTTATATCTTAATAGACCATTTTTCTTGGTTCATTTTTTAAATATTTATTTAATAAATATTTATTAAATATTAAAACAACGAATGACTAAAACACATCTGTTAAAGTTTATTGCGCATTGTCGCGGTCCTTCTTTTAATTAGATGCTTATCTTTTCCACAGCCGAACCTCTGCCTCTCATGGATCTCTGTCGAAGAGTGATTCGACAGCGAATGGGTAAACATAGACTAGAAAACAGGATCCATGAGCTGAAACTACCGTATACGATGAAGACTTATCTTCTATACCGGGACAGAAGGTAACCACTGAGTGAATCTCCTCAAGATGCCACGATTATGACTGCGAACATCACCGTGTTAGAACGTTGCCACTACGACTCACAGGCGACCGTCCGCTATCCTCTTACACGCCAAGAACAGCAACCCCTTAGCCGCGCGTTTCCGTTAATCAAGCGCACGATGTTGAACAGACTGAAATGCGTCATGCGCCGACGCATCGAGACACGCCTAGTACTTCGAGAAGGCGCGCTAAGAGAACGATGCCGAAATACCATATTGATAACGACTTGTGGCGCCCTTATTAAGACAAATCATGATGACTGTAATTTTCGCAGACGTTATTGCCATCGCCGATAAATTCAACTCGATGAAGGCAAAATTAACAGACAAGATGGAAAAAGAGGTTTTAACAGGGGAATAAGAATTAAAAACTCTTCTAAATTTGTTTTTAATGTTTTAAGTTCCTTATTATTATCCCTGTTTTATGTTTGTTGTACTTCTATCTATGAAGATAGAGAAGAGATTGTTATTTATTGATTATTAGAAAGTTGTACCGATAAAACCAATGATTTCGGTACTCACATATTTGTGTATATTATATGCATTTCTTTTAAATATTCATTTTACTGACGATACGTGTATATGACGAATAGTATTGTACCAGACGATGGCGATGAGGTACAATGTGCGCCATGTCGGAGACACTTGGTTAGAAATGAAAGGCAAAAGATTATACGAAAACACGAAGAAACACAGCGCTTCGCAGTTGGCCAGTAAAAAAAATTAGACTTAATCAAGCCTGGAGACTGATACGGACGTGTCACTTGCTTACAACGGTTGATCAATAGTGGATAGCGCTGCTGACTCTTAATCCTGCCGGGCAGAAAAATGAAACGAAACAACAAGGAATTGAAACAAAAAGAAGCGAGTTGAAGAAATAGAAGATACGAAGAAGATTTATACATCGGTGAATAATTAAAAATTATCGACGAGGTCGTATGGACAATTGTGGAACGATTAATTCAATTTAAAGTGTATAGTGATGGACATTGGGCAGCCACCTTCCAGACTCATTTTTCAAATATTTTCTAAGCATGCTAGATTTAATAAAGTATAGTGGTGTGTGCGTGTATCGTGGATGAATATAAAACAGAGACACGATGAGGGAGGCACGAAGGAACAAGAGAGAATACAGTAACCCTGCCATAATATTCTCTTTAGCAATGTTCGAAAATACAACATAGACTTTACAATTGCGAATTCTGCGGGGAGAGACCGAGTGAAGAATAAAAAGGGTAAGCATCTAAAACTCGCGCTGTGGTGAATCGAATAAAAGACGTCTAAGTAAACTAATAACGAAAAGCTTGTTACTAAAATTAATTATCTACATCTAATTGATTAAAAGTGCTGTAATTGCGAAAATAGTATGTATTTAACTAATGTTTAAGAGAAACGAATGAATACACGGGCATTGGCACGAATTATACCAAACGCTTTAATAAAATGTCATGGAGAACCGCTATGTAGCAAATCCGATAAAAGGGTGATGAGTAACGATATTGAACTCATCATAACGATTATCGGATTATCGATCATAATAGTTACAATAACAACAATGATGATGATAAACATTGATGCTGATTATACCGGATATGTAACTATTATAATATTAGCATGACAAATCTTACGACTGGGCTCTAGTATCTCTTTACTCTTACGTTTGTCGCTTAGGTTAAAGACTATGCCACCGTCAACGGCTATGTCGATTTGTACATAGATATATTGATAATATTGTACGACGACGTATACGTGTGTATTGTGGATGATGATTGTATCCGAAACAGGCAGACCGAATGCGAGAATGGTACCATCTTCATCGTTTCATACAAGCAAAGCAATCATCTCGCGTCGTCAGACCTCCGTTTCAGTATATCTTACTTTCTAGCGCACGGGTTTAATGCGATTTTAAAATCACTTCGATTGTTAATCGCTATGATATCATTGTTTGCATCACCAGCTTAAGCTCGTCCGAGATTCGGATCGTATCGCGTCTTCCAAATTATCGTTAATCGTTCGTAGCGTTTATCTGACTTTATTCTAACTCTCATTGAATATGATAGATCACATTTTGCTCTCATATCTATGACGATTACGTTTCTTCTTGGTGCAATTTCCCGTGATGACCTGTTTGAATGAATCCAGTGTTCGCATGCTGGACATTCTAACAATCATCACAAAGCGTTTGGAAAGATAACTAGTCTCATGTCATACCTGCAACATTTTGCAAAAAGCATCTCGTACTCGGGAGCTTTTGATCGTACAGCTTTGGTGATTTTCAATACTCGGGAGCGTGATCTATTAGCGACATTGTGTTCGCTATCTTTCATATCGCGGAATGCGTAGGAAAAGTGCGCGAATCTGTGACGCGAACAGATCGAATGATAAATGGACGAATGCGAAGACGACTCTTTGCGAGAAACGTATCATCTCTCCGTCGACACGTCGTTGTCGAAGATAATTCTGTCTTACGGTGGAAACTGACACGAGATAGAAAGAGAAACGCTGCGAGAGTGGCGAAGAGGACTTCTGCACGGAAAAGAAGTCGTCCTCGTTGTTTTTATTGTACAGTAGCAGCGGATAATTTACTTTGTCATCTTTTATTCGGCGCCTGTGCATAAAGGCAAAACGTCGAAAGTTCTCTCTAGCGGGAGGACTTTGCATACCGCGATAGAAAAAAAATACGATTCTAAGTATGTGTACAAGGGAACATCACGTACCCGAAGACGCGCCTTAAGCGTTCACGATTCAATGTACATTCATTTATGTCGTTCATATATCGTTATACACGTGCGAGAAAACCGAGAACACTAGTACACGCGCGCGCGCACACCCTCAGAAAGGAAAATTTTTTCCGCAACTATACTTATTGCCGTTGAATCGATACTATTTTATATGAATTGCCTATAGGAACGCATGTCACGAGCCGAGCAAATATGATGAAAGAGGGAATAATAGATACAACACATACATGTACAAAATTATTATTAATGATTAATATTAATATTATTGCTGTGGATTAGTTTAATTAATTACTCGGTCGTCATTACCAGGTATTGTTAGTCAGGTATTTACAAATATTACGATATAATTGTGGTTTCAGTTTTTATACGATAGGGAAAAATATATATGCGATCGATCGATTTAACAATTAAACATAAGAGAATTATTTTTGAAATATAGGCATATCTGGATATATTTTTTCAAAGAGTATTAAAATTTCTTATAATTTAAATTGATTTTATGTAAAGTGATTTTATTTAACGCTTGTTTCGCTGTGACGGCTTATTTCGAGCGTAGCAATGAAATAAAAGAAATAAAATGAAAACAATTTAAATATTATTAACATTTTAAATATATTCTAAGCTTATTGTGATATTGATTGATGATTGATTGATTGATGTATCAAAAAGATAAGTTACTAATAAAAAGATAGAATCATCATTTGGGATCTTGTTATCTTAGTTAAAAATTAATTAATTAATTAATCTTAATTAAAAATTTAATTTTCAATGAGAAAATTCTTATTACATACATTACTTTTCATTTGTATATTTTTAATCATATTTATGATAAAATTAATACTATACATTATTATAAAGTATATATTATATAATACAATAATTAGAGTTTATTTTAAAATATTTATAATTGATTTTAAAATAAAACAGATTTATTATTTACTTAATGTAAAGATGTAATATGTGTTTAAGTTGTTAATATGTGACTAAGTTTTATCTTTTTTTCGTCAACTAAAGTTTGATATTATTATAAATTTATTTACTGATATCTGTATTGATATCTGTACTTACATTACTTTTTACTGATACAGATATCACTACATTTTTATCAAAAAAAAAACAATTTTTTATATTTTTTCAAAATAATTTATTATAGCTAAAAATGTAAATCAATATAAAAAAAAGGTACAAAATAAATATGCATAATCTAATTTTATTATATGACTATTCAATTCGATGTTATTAGACTGTCATAAAATACGGAATGAAATATATATAGATCAAAAAATTAAATTATATTTAAACTCAATACATAACTCATATATACACACACACACACACACACACACACACACACATATACATCTTGATTGCATTATATTTTAATTTAAAAAATCGGTAAAGTCAGCTATCGTATAATTCATAATTTTATGATTTCACAGTACAGGTTTTTTATGGAGCTTATACGGGTATATATTTTATTTTACATTTTTTACAAGTAAGCTTTTTACTCCTGAAACTGAAAAGGAGCTGAAAAGATAGTTGGACTGTCCCGATTTTTAATTTATATCGATCGATCGCATATAATGATAAGCACAGGCAAGCTAGCTTTTAATAATAAAACCGCGAGAGCGAGTCCAATTCGTTCACACATGCGCCGCGGAAAGTGTTCCAACAAAATTTGCGTGGCTGTTGCAAGGATTAATTTCCGTGAACTGCCACCTGCCCACCTGCCCTTGCAAACTACGTTGCCTCGACAAATGTGTCTAATTTATTAATGAAATGTGTAATGGGACGATAATTAACAAGTTGAATTAGTTGAATACTTGTACGCTAAAAAAAGGACGAAGTATGTGTAAGAAAGAGAGCGAGAATATGAATATTAGTATGTTTGTATGCGCGTGATGCGCGTTGAATGTATATTGCATGCATACGTGAATGTTGTGAATACTTATTCATTATTTTTTCTTTTTGCTTTTTCGTTCGCAAATTGTTATCGCTTGATTTTGAATTTTATCAAAGTGTCGTATTAATCGTGGTATTAATCCAGAAATAAATTTCGGTTTTCTCATGATAATAGCTCAACAATTGCTCTGTAGAATACATTATTGTTTGATAATATGTAATAACATCTAATATTAACTACAGGAATAAACATGAAAAGAAAAGATTTTCGTAGGAATTGTTTTTTATACAACTATCTACGTGAACGACATAGTGCTGAAACTGCACACGAGTTCAACATTCGATCAAGAATTAATTATTCAATGCACAATTTAGCTATATTGCAAAATTTTCACATTAGTTATAAAATTGTGTTTTAATAAATTAAGAATTATTTTATTCCAAGACAACTATTTTTCAAAGCAGAATAAAATAACCCTTCAGAATTTTTAACATTTAAATACTACAATATATTATAAACTATGATATATGTATATTAGAGCTCAAGAAATTTTAAGATTAAAATATGCCTTAAAAAATTATAATATTTTCAGAAATATGTTATCTTAAATATTAAATTTATGATGATTCCACTGTGTTTAAAAATTTGTATATTTGTGAATAATAGAAACCTCTTTCTTTTTACTATTTTTTAAACAAATTTTATT